AGTGGAATTTTTACAAATAGTTGAATCTATGAATAAAACCATTTTCCTCAAACAGACCAAAATGTAACCACTATTTAAAAAGAAAAAAGGACCTGCCCTTGCCAGTTTGCTCAGTGGTTATCATCTGTAATCATAGACCGAAGGGTCTCAGGTTCGATTCCTGGACAAGGGAATGTACCAAGGGCAGGTACCTTGGTTACAGGGTTCAAACCCCAGCCCCTAGTGGGGGCGCATGCGGGAGACAATCAAAGTATCTCTCTCACCTCGATGTTTCTCTCCCCCCACCCCCTTCCTCCTTCCCACTCTTTCTAAAAATCAATGGAAAAAATATCCTCATCTAAACATTAAAAAACAAACAAACAAAAACCAAAAACCTTAAATACAAAGTTGTTTCTTTTGTTTCTGAATAAAACCAAACAAAATATTTGGAAATGATTACAGATGATAAATTACAAATACCATAACTGAGCAGTCTTCATTTGTATTAAAAGTGATTGAGGTATTTTATCCTAACCCTGAGACCCCAAAATTATAATATATTTGAGTTGGAATAGTCAGTTAGTTTAATCTCTTACCCTCAGGCAGAAAGATTTAAACACTTAAAGTGAGAGTTTATCAGCTTAATATGCAAGTCACATATCAGGAAATAACCAATTTTAAGAACACCTTCAGGATTTCCCCTCCTACTAATATAGCAGGGCCTTCTCATTACACAACAACTATATCCATGCTACAGCATACTTTTTGAAGCATTAATGGGCTTTCAGGAAGAAAAAAAATGTCTCTAGGAATAAAAAACAAAACAACAAACAAAATACAATAACCTAAGAATGGAATAGGAAGTGGTACGCAGTATTTATTAGGCAAACCCAAAGTCAGGGTTGCCGCAGTAAAAACACCAACATGGGTCCCAGAAACTAAGTCTCAGGCATCTTTAAAGTGGGAGACCTGAGTGTAGAACTACTGCATCAATCCAGGATTCCAGAAGGGAGGAAATGCAAATACTCCCCTTCAGGAAGCATCCATGACTTATGTCCTGAGGACTTAATGATTAAGATTAGCCAAGCATTAGCCACATAAGCAAAAACTGCAAAATACTTATATAAATAAACCATTATGAATGAGACTCAGACGAAACAAAAAACAGGAGGTTTACATACTGACGATCTTCATATATTAGGATTACCAGATTTAGAATATAAAACTATGCATGAAATATTTGAGAAACAAAATATGGAATCTAAAAATTAATAAGTAATAAAAACTTATTAAATATGAAAGTTATAATTATTGAATGGTAAGCTCAACAGATGGGTTATAGGAGTACAGCTAGCTCAAGAGGATATTAGTGGCCTGGGAAAAATTACCCAGAATGCAGCACAGAGGCAAGGAATTAGAAATTATAAAAAGGAGATTAAGAGACAAAGAGCATAGAATGAGAATGTCTAATATAAGTCTAATCAGAGTTCCAGAAAGAGAAAACAGAGAATGGAGAACAGACGTTCATCAAAGAGGTCATCACTGATAATTTTTTCCCTAAAACTTATGAAGAACATTATTCTATACAAAGGATTGTGGTACAGATACAACAATTATAAAAAGAAATACAGTGGAACTAAATTTAGTCTCTGGCCTAAAATAATGACAACAAAAGACAAAATATGTGAAACCATTATCAAAACACTGGATATCATACAATGAAAGAAAGTGACACCTGAGAGTTCAGAAAAATAAACCCTGTGGTTGCTCTCACTGGACTGAGTTAAGGAGACAGAGCTGAGTCTGGAGAGATCAAAGGGATTAGAGTTCAAAGGACAGGTACCAGAGAGAAGGATCTGCACAGAAAGAGGCCTCTGGAAGTCTGCAGAGGGTTCCCCTTAAGCATTTAGCTAAGTAACGACCAAGGGATAAATGTGAACAAACTATCCATGGTGCCTATTCCAACTAGCCGGATGGGAAAAACTCATGATTCATGGCACGCTGGATACAGTTCAAAGAAAAGTCTTGCCTCAGTAGTATTCACAAATAATTAGCCCTAAATTGAGCACTGTTTGGTCCCACCTAAAGGCGCAAAAGGATCAAACTGTTTTCAAGTAATTTTATCATGTCCTGAACAAAACTCAGGAATATTTTTAGGAATAACAAAAATATACAGCACTAGCCCTAGCTTGTTTGGCTCAGTGGATAGAGCGTCGGCCTGCGGACTGAAGAGTCCCAGGTTTGATTCCAGTCAAGGGCACATGCCCTGGTTGCAGGCTCGATCCCCAGAAGAGGGCGTGCTGGAGGCAACCGATCAATGATTCTCATCACTGATGTTTCTCTCTCTGTCTCTTCCTTCCCCTCTGAATTCAATAAAAAAAATATAAAAAAATATGTATATGTATATAGTACTCAATATACATATAAATACATAAAATATATGTAAATATAAAATGAAATTTTATACATATGACAAAAGACTAGTTTCTAAGATACATAAAGAACTCCTACAACTCAATAATAAAGAGACAAACAACACAATTTTAAAACAGGCAAATAGCCCTAACCGGTTTGGCTCAGTGGATAGAGCGCCGGCCTGCGGAATGAAGGGTCCCAGGATCGATTCCAGTCAAAGGCATGTACCTTGGCTGCGGGCACATTCCCAGTAGGAGGTGTGCAGGAGGCAGCTGATCGGTGTTTCTAAGTCTCTATGCCTCTCCCTTCCTCTCTATAAAAAATCAATAAAATACATTTAAAAAAATAAAAATAAAATAGGCAAACATTTAAACATTTCACAAAAAGAACACATCCTCAATAAGCTCATGAAAAAGTGCTCAACATAATCAGTTGGCAGGGAAATGCAAGTTAAAACCATAATAACATACTATTACACACCCACCAGAATTGTCAAAAATAGAAAGACTTGCAAAACCAAATGTGAGGAAAATATGGAGTAACCAGAACACTCCTACATTGTCAGTGGAAGTATACAATGGTACAACCACTTTGGGAAAGGACATGACAATTTCTTATAAAAAGAAATGTGAATCTACCTTACGAACTGGCATTCTCACTCCTACATATTTATCCAAGAAATTAAAGTACATTTTAAAGATTTAAACAATTAGGTTCATAGTATTTTTTTCAAAATACCCCCCAAAACTGGAAACAACCTAGTGTTCATCAATAGGGGGACAGATAAACTGGTTTTTGTCCCATTCACATCATACTCAGAGTAAAAAGGAACCAACCATCAATACATGCGACAATATGGATGGATCTCACAAGCATGCTACTCGAAATGTCTTACATATAACAATAGGTAGTACATGATCCCATTTATGGAAAGTTCCTAAATAGGCAAAGCTAATCTAAGATGGAAAGAAATAGGAACTTCTGGAGAAGTGGGGGTGGGTATTTACTGGGAGAGAGCATTAGGGAACTTTGTGGGGTGATGGTAATACTCAATTCATTATAAGGGTTTGGGCTCTGTAAGTATATGCATTTGTCAAAAGCCCACAAGTGCAAGATCTGTGCATTTCAGTATATGTAAATTTTACACATAAATTTTACAGACTAACAGTAAACTCTGGTTAATAATATACATGTGGAAATGTGTAAGGGAAAATACACAGATGTCTGCAATTTACTCTGCAGTGCATGAAACTGATGAATAAAAGAATGGCTAGATGGCTAGACAAATGATAAAGCAAGTTGACTGAAATGACAGAATCTAGGTGGTAGGTATATACATGAACTCACAGTAAAAGCCAATCGATTTTTATAGGTATTTAGAAATTTCCATAATAAAATGTTTGGGAAAAATAACAACTGAAAAAAAGTCAGGTGCCTGCATCCAGAGATATTTATAGTATCAACCAAAAAGAATTACAGCGTCAGCCCTATTTCTGTGTCATCAGAGAGTCCTGTTCAGCTCACACCCCATCTGGCAGCTATTCTTCCCCCTATAAAACAGTTATAATGAAATGCTGTTCCATATGAAATCCTCCTTCTGCACCAACAGGCCTCAGAGGCAGGTGCCTGAAAAGCAGAGACACACTCTAGCTGACTAGAAAGCACTCAACGAGACAGAGCACAAAGCTACAGTACCATGCAGAGAGAGGAGGCTCGAGGCTGACACCAAGCATGATTTCCAGGGCATGCATGTTGTTACCATTTACTGGGGCCTTCTAATGGGTCCTCACAAGAAACTTGTGACATAGGGAAAACCCTCTAAGACAGCGGTCGCCAACCGGTGGTCCACGGACCACTGGTGATCTGTGAGGCCTGAAAGGTTGGCGACCGCTGCTCTAAGATACCAGGCTCAGGACAACAAAAGACTTTCTAATTGAAGGTTGCCCCTAGACCTTCAAAAGAGCTCCTACCACAACGAAATGCTGGCCACTGGAATATTGGGGACCTACGGAGTGTTTCGCCATTCCACAACACATCATGAATGTTTGCAGCAGTCACCCGGAAACCTCGTTGCCTATTCTCACCTTCTTTGTATTCTTAACTCCAACTTTACCCTATTCTAATCCTTGGCTTTGAAGACCTAGTCTGATCCTATCTCTGGAACTCTAGAGTTAGTATTTTTGTCTCCCTAGTGTATGACTCAACTTTTCTTAAAGGGCTTTGGCTTGCCTGCCTGTCTCTTTCTGTTTAGACTTCCTGGGATAGAACCCCACCCTATTTTGGCCTCTAGAAGCTAACTCCTAAAGTCAGCGAGAAGACTCCTGCTTACATCAACTCCTCAGAAAGGGAAGGTTTGGATACACTGTAGGTCATCTAGTTCCTCTGCCAGGATTCCTCACCTATCCCTCCTGGCTTTGTTCTTAGGTTCACACCTCAGACTTTAGTTGTCCGTATCCTCATTCTAATTTGGCATTCTCCAGCTCTTGGTGATGTTTCAACAACTTACTCCTTAGTATCTAATCTTGATTGTCTCTTATTCATGGCTTTGCTTTTAGTGTCTCAGCACTGTCAGACAGGGGAGCTCAGCTTCCATAAATCATAGTGGACAAATAGGGCAAATTTATATTATTAATGCCCATTCAGGAGAAACAGATATGACTCTATAGCAAGTAAGCTGCAGAACCCAGTATTTTAATTCTCCTGTTTCTTTCAGCTTTTGGAAAGTACCAGTGTGATGAGGAGGATTATAATAATAGTATTTATTATCATCATCTATAACAATTATATTTATTGAGTACCTAATTCTGTGCTTTCATTTAAACCTCACCACGATCCTATGAAGCATCTTAACGCTTGACAGAGTAGACAATCAATAAATATTACTGACTGAGTAATGATCAAATAAACAAATGAAAATTTTCATAGTAGCTATTTTCTTCATTTACAGGTGAGAAAAATAAATCTCACACTTTTACCTAGGTCACAAACAGATGATAATTTGAAACCAGATCAGTCTAGCTTCAGAATTTATACTTTTCCCACCATTTCACATAGCAGTTCACTCCCAATCATAAAAGAACATGATGTCAAACATCTCAACAGAAATCACCTTAAGGAAGTTCTCAACTATTATATTTTTATTATAGAAAATATAATAAAAATGTAATTAGGCTCCTTCTTATCAAAATGACAGAGAAGTGTACTTTTGTGATTTTCCCAAATGCAGAGATAAAAACAGAATTCTAATATAAAATTCTGGAATACTCCAATAACAGCTCTCACCTGATTTTGGACAGTAGCTCTCCTCTATCTGCACAGTCCACACTGACTTGTCGAATAAGTTCATGAAATACTGTATTATAAATAGTCTGTTCCTTCCTCAATGTATGTAGCAGTTTGTGCATCTGGCAGAAGATAAGTTAATTAGCATTTATTATGGTCTTGTCAATAAAAACGTTTTAGGATTTAATCACCCTGAATGTGAACTAAGTTTTAGAAACACCTTGATTTATTTCACTTACATTTTCTGTTATAAATACTTATATATAAAAATGACTTCTTACTTTCTAAAATCTGTGTCTAATCATTGAACCTCTGTATATAATGCACTGAGATCACAATATCACTTTTATGTTATTTCTGCCAAAATACAAAACCTGAATCTAATTATGACTACACATCAGACAAACCAAAATTGAGGGACATTCTACAGAATAACTGGCCTATGCTCTCCTAAATATCAAGATCAAGAAACACTAAGAACTCTTTCAGATTATAGTTGTCTAAAGAAAAGTGACAGCCTGGCCGGTGTGGGTCAGAGGTTGAGTGTTGACCTATGAACCAGGAAGTCACTATTAGATACCTAGTTCGGGCACATTCCCAGGTTGCAGACTTGATCCCCAGTAGCGGGGGAGGGGGTAGGTGCAGGAGGCAGCTAATTAATGGTTCTCTCTCACAGGCACATTTCCAGGTTTCGGGCTTGATCCCCAGTGGGGAGGGGGCGGGGGTAGGTCCAGGAGGCAGCTAATTAATGATTCTCTTTCATCATTGATGTTTCTATCTCTCTCTCCCTCTTCCTTCTTCTCTCAAGTCAATAAAAAAATATGTTTAAATTAAAAAAAAAAGGACTATACACAAAAAATGGCATGATGTTTTCAGCTTACTCTAAAATGGTTCAGAAAAAACTACACTTACAGAGATACGCAGAGAAGGAGAGAGAATGACAAAGCGTATAGGGCACAACGTAAACAACTGGTGAATCTGGGTAAAGGTTACATAAGAGTGTCTTATTTTGAACTATGTTTCCAATTCTATAAAAATAAAGATTTATGAAACAAAAAATAGCCTTCATAAAACATCTATATCTATGTAAGATTGAAAGAGCCCTTTCATTAAGCACAAAATAAAAATTACAAGTGGTAAGAAAGCACAAATTGGCAGTGCTTTTTATTGGTATGCAAAATAATCTATAGTGCTTAATATTCAATGAAATACAGTAGTAGTAGTAGTAATAATAATAATAATAATAATAATACAGTTGACCCTAGAACAATGCAGGGAGGGGTTAGGAGCATCAACCCCCATGCAGTCAAAAGTCCATGGACAACTTCTGACTTCCCCAAAACATAACTACTAATAGTCTACTCTTGACCGGGAGCCTTGCCAATAACATAAACAGTCGATTAACACATATTTTGTATGTTATATGTCTTATATACTATATTCTTACAATAAAGTAATCTAAAGAAAAGAAAATATTATTAAGAAAATCATAAGGACTCTCTATCTCTCTCCCTTCCTCTCTGTAAAAAATCATTAAAATATATTAAAAAAAAAAGAAAATCATAAGGAAGAGAAAATATGTTACATTATTTACTGAAAAAAAGGCACATATAAATGGATGGCATAGCTCAAACCCCTGTTGCTCAAGGGTCAACTGTACTAACAATTAATTATACAAGGTTTACCACATGCCAAGCACTGTTCTCAGTCCTTTACATTCATTATGTCATTAATCTCCACAACAACTCTGTGAGGTAAATATTATTATCATCTCTAATTTACAGGTGAAGAAAACGAGGCACAAATACATTAAATGGCTTGCCCAGGGTCACCAGCCAATAAATGGCAGGATCAGGATCCAATACAGGCATCCTACCATCCAGAGTGTATGCTTGTAACCACTACCTAGGTCACACAGATCTTCACAATTACCTGAGTTGGCCCTGTATACTCCTGATTGTCCACACCAGCCCTCTCCAGCATAGTATCCATCACATCATTCAGTTGGGCCACTTCTACTCTTTTATTAGGTTTCCTAAAAGATTAAGGTGGCAGACTTAGTAATTGAAAAAAAGGCACATATAAATGGATGGCATAGCTCAAACCCCTGTTGCTCAAGGGTCAACTGTACTAACAATTAATTATACAAGGTTTACCACATGCCAAGCACTGTTCTCAGTCCTTTACATTCATTATGTCATTAATCTCCACAACAACTCTGTGAGGTAAATATTATTATCATCTCTAATTTACAGGTGAGGAAAACGAGGCACAAATACATTAAATGACTTGCCCAGGGTCACCAGCCAATAAATGGCATCTAAGACAGAATCCAATACAGGCATCCTACCATCCAGAGCGTATGCTTGTAACCACTACCTAGGTCACACAGATCTTCACAATTACCTGAGTTGGCCCTGTATACTCCTGATTGTCCACACCAGCCCTCTCTAGCATAGTATCCATCACATCATTCAGTTGGGCCACTTCTACTCTTTTATTAGGTTTCCTAAAAGATTAAGGTGGCAGACTTAGTAATCAGTGTTACAATAGGTCATCTTCAAATCACAAAAAAATATATAATATGTATAAACAAAATGTATATTCTATGGAATATTAATGGTATCTTAAAGCATTAGACCTGTAAGTATTGATCTAATGGGCATATCAGTAATACTTTTTTAAAATAAAGAATGCAAGTAATATGATCCTCTCTTTCATAAAAGAAAATAATGCTCCCTCCCCTCAAAATTCAATTCACCTATTGTGTATGATTGTAAGAACATAGAAAAAAATGTGGAGAGATAAACACATAATATTTCACAATATAAGACAGGAAAAGGGAAAAGAAGAAGGTGGGGGAGAGACTGCCCCAGGCCAGCTGGCATGGCTCAGTGATTGATCATCGACCCACGAACCAAGAGATCATGGTACGATTCCGGGTCAGGGCACAGACCTGGGTTGTGGGCTTGATCCCCAGTTGGGGGCATGCAGGAGGCAGCTGATCAATGATTCCCTCTCATCATTGATGTTTCCATCTCTCTCTCCCTCTCACTTCCTCTCTGAAATCAATAAAAATATTTTTTAAAAGACTAGTAAAATGGCCGAAACCGGTTTGGCTCAGTGGATAGAGCGTCGGGCTGCGGACTGAAAGGTCCCAGGTTCGATTCCGGTCAAGGGCATGTGCCTGGGTTGCGGGCACATCCCCAGTGGGAGATGTGCAGGAGGCAGCTGATCGATGTTCCTCTCTCATCGATGTTTCTAACTATCTCTCCCCCTTCCTCTCTGTAAAGAGTCGATAAAATGTATTTAAAAAAAAAAAAAAAAAAAGACTAGTAAAATGGAGAAATACTAATGGTTAAATGCAGCATATAAAAGGATTCTGTGTATTTTATATACTTTATTATATATGATCCCGCAATCCCACTTCTGAGTATTCATCCAAAAGAATTGAAATCAGGATCTCAGAGAGATTATTAGCACCCCCATATTCACTGCAACACTAGTCACAACATGTAGAAACAGCATAGATGTCCATTGAAGAATACATGGATAGAGAAAAAGTGGTAAATACAGGCACTGAAATATTATTCAGACTTAAAAAAGAAGGAAATTCTGCTACATACAACAACGTGTATGAACCTGGAGGATATGACACAAAGTGAAATAAGCCAGTTACAGAAGGACAATACTGCATGATTACACTCACATGAAGCATCTAAAATAGTCAAACTCATAGAATTATGGATTGGAATTGTGGTTTCCAGGGGCTGGCAGGAGAGGGACAGAGGGACTTGCTAATTAGCAGGCATGAAGTTTCCGTT